CTTTTGAGTAAAACTTTGATCAAATTTGCATTCAAGTATAATTTTCAATGTATGTTCTTTAGGTGCGTGTACGTTTCATGCGTGTGTATGAGTGAAAATTTGTGTATATTATTTGCATGATTTATGAATTAAAAAATAAAATCAAACAGACATGACTGATAGATGGATGGATGGAGGGATGGATGGAGGGATGGATGGATAGATAGATGGATGGATGGATGGATGGATAGATAGATGGATGGATGGATGGATGGATAGATAGATAGATAGATATATAGATAGATAGATCTTTTTTCGTTATCAGTCATCTCGTTTCAAGCCTCCTCAGTTACTTCAAATCTCGCATTTCACAGTTAAGAGATTAAATCTTTCTCGCCGCTTCTCCTTTTAGATTGTGTGTGTGTGTGAGCAATACAACATTAACGTCTTGTTAGAACCTGAGAGCGAGTTTATTTAAGCTGATAAAGACAGAAAACAGCTGACTGCGGTCATGTGACAGCAATAGACCATCATAGGACTTTAATTCGGTCCCTCTCTTCTGCTGCTGTAACCCATCCGCCTCAAGGTTGGCCGTGTTGTGTGTTCAGAGACGCTCTTTTGCAGACCTCGGTTGTAACAATTGGTTATTTGAATTACTTTTCTATCAGCACCAACCACTCTGGCCATTCTCCTCTTCTCTGGCATCAACAAAGCTCACTGGATATTTTCTCTTTTTTGGACCATCCTCTGCAAACCCTAGAGATGGTTGTGCGTGAAAATTCCAGTAGGTCAGCAGTTTCTGAAATACTCAGACCAGCCCGTCTGACACCAACAACCATTCCACGTTCAAAGTCACTTAAATCACATTTCTTCCCCATTCTGATGCTCAGTTTAAACTGCAGCAGATCGTCTTCACCACGTTTACATGCCTAAATGCATTGAGTTACTGCCATGTGATTGGCTGATTAGAAATTTGCGTTAACTAGAAGTTGGACAGGTGAACCTAATAAAGTGGCCGGTGAGTGTAGATTTGTGGCCAATTTGTATTCTTTATAGACAGTTGCTTAAAAACAGTGTTGTCATGTATTCACTGAGATGCAGGAGAAATATGAAGCAACGGAGGCGATTTGTTACAGCTTTTTGATGTGCCGAACACACAGCCGCCCCAAGAGAGGCTTTAAATTGATTTGGTTTTTGAGAGATGCCTGCTGACAGTCTCACACAAATTACTGAACATCAACACAGCAAGAAAATCAATGGGACATATGTCGCCAATTTACCACTGTTAGTCAATTATTAATGAACACTTTAATATATAACAACAGTCGGTTAAGGTGCTATACATTTAATCACGTACGGTAATAAACTGTGCCTTGCATGGAGGAAAATCTGTATGTTATGTACACAGGACAACAAGTCATGCTGCAGCAAGCTTTTTTATTATATATGTATACAGTATATCATAAGATGCATAAGAGGTAGTCATTCAGACAGCAACAGCAGCTACAGTTTATAGCAGCATATATAAGGCAAAACATGCTAAAGCATCAGGCCACAGACTACTGAGAAATCAATGCAACACATGTGGCCTGTTTTATAAGATTATGTGATGCAATCAGCAGCGACTGGTTTAATAAAAACACCGGCGTTCCATTAAAATAGTCAGTTAAAAGATAATATATAAAAGCTACATTTAAAGGGTGTAAGCTTGCGTTAGTATTCGGTGAGTAAAACAGTCTTATCTTGTGTATACGATTGTACATATGTCTCAAGGCTGTGCATGCTGCATCATGTAAACATTTTATATATTTATAAATATATGTATATATACACACACAGTGTCAGATGTGGCATAATATTAAAACATCAACGCAATCTCAAAACAATTCGTAACTTTTTGATTTAGTTGGTAATTCAGATGAGTTTGTACGATCTAAAGATGTAGCGATATGAAAAATTCTGGGCCGAAACGGAAACGAAAATATTTTTTTATTGTTTATTAAATAACATAATTTATTTTATTTTTTAATTTAAGTTAATAATTATTCTGACTTAAAAAAAACACAAGCCAATCAAATAACCCCATTTTATCCAGAGCGTCATTTTACCAGTGTTGCCATGACAACACAGTAGCTCTATTGCAAGTGGCAGGATTAAGTACTTCATAGCTTGTCAGCACGTTAATTGAGCAAACTTTGTTTTTCTGGTGAGAATGTGCGTTTCATGCATAGATAAGAATGGGTTCATGAATGTAACATCGACAGATATTAGTGGAATAATGAGCTATTTTGAACTTTGATGGTGAAAAAGGAAATTGCCATTTTTGGTTGTTAATTTTCAGCTACTCGGTGCATTCCTAGTATGATCTTATTCATATGTTTCAGTATAAATTGCTCATTGCTTAATGGCAGTTAGAATTAGGGGTGGGATTTGGTAGCGTGCCACTTTTTACAAAAAAAAAAGGAAAATCGCAAGTTTTAATTCAAATATAAATTATTTATTAAACTGTATCGCAAGTATTTGTAAGAATTAGCCACTTTACTGACAATCCAACGCTATCCCATGGCTATTCGAAACTTTTTGATTTAGTGGCTAATTCAGTTGAGTTTGTATGATCAGTTGGGTTTAGGGGTGGGATTTTGTTTTCCTACTTTATTGACCGTCGAAAACCAAAAATGCCATTTTCAGCCAATAATTATTTTAGTATGAATTGCTCATACTTCAATGACAGATGGGTTTAGAGGTGGGGTTTGGGAGCACGGCCCCTCAAGTTTTCATACAAATGAAATTGTATGTATTCGTGTGAATTAGCCACTGACAATCCAATGCTATCTCACGGCAATTGGTAACTTTTTGATATAGTGGCTAAATCGCATGAGTATGCATGATCACATTTACATTTTAGTGCAATTTACTCATCCTCAATGACGGTTGGGTTAAGCAGTGGGAATTAGTGCCACACCTACTTTATTGATCCTGAAAAAATGAAAATGCCATTTTCGGCCAATAATTTTCAGTAATTCAGTGCATTCCTAGTATGATCTCATTCATACATTTTACTATGAAGTGCTCATCCTTCAATGACAGCTCTGTTTAGGGTTGGAGTTTGGGAGCTTGGAGCACTGGGTTGGAGTTTGGGAGCACACCCAGTTTCATACAAAATAAATTGTGTGCATTTGAATGAATTAGCCACTGTTCTGATAATCCAACGTTATATCGCGACAATTGGTAACTTTTTGATTTAGTGGCTAATTTGTATGAATTTGTACAATTTTATTTGTAAAGTTTAGTATGATTTGCTCATCCCCAAAGACAGTTGGGTTTAGGGCCGGGGTTTGGTGCCCCATCTGCTTTATTGACTCTGGAAAAACAAAAATGGGAGCACGCCTCCTTTTAAAAAAAGTTTTCATTCAAATTGAATTGTTAATTGAACTTTATTGCAAGTATTCGTACGAATTAGCCACTTTTTTGACAATCCAACGCTATCCCATGGCAGGTCATAACTTTTTGATTTAGTGGCTAATTTGTATGAGTTTGTATGATCAATTGGGTTTAGGGGTGGGGTTTGGTGCCACACCTACTTTATTGACCGTGCAAAAACAAAAATGCCATTTTCGGCCTATAATGATCAGTAATTCGGTGTATTCCCAGCATGATCTCATTAATACATTTTAGTATGAATTGCTCATCCTTCAATGACAGATGGGTTTAGAGGTGGGGTTTGGGAGCACGGCTCCTCAAGTTTTTATACAAATTAAATTGTATGTATTCATGTGAATTAGCCACTTGTCTGACAATTCAACGCTATCTCATGGCAATTGGTAACTTTTTGATATAGTGGCTGAATCGCATGAATTTGTATGATCACATTCATACATTTTAGTGCAATTTACTTAACCCCAATGACGGTTGGGTTAAGGGGTGGGATTTTGAGACACACCTACTTTATTGACCCTGAAAAACTGAAAACAATTTTCAGTAATTCGGTGCATTCCTAGTATGATCTCATTCATACATTTTAGTATGAATTGCTTATCCTTCAATGACAGCTCTGTGTAGGGTTGGGATTTGGGAGCTTGGAGCACTGGGTTAGAGTTTGGGAGCACGCCGAGTTTTCATGCAAAATAAATAGTCTGTATTTGTACGAATTAGTCATTTTTTTGACAGTCCAACATTATATTATAACAATTGGTAACTTTTTTGATTTAGTGGCTGATTTGTATGAATTTTTACAATTTTATTTTTACATTTTAGTATGATTTGCTTATCCCCATTGACAATGGTTTAGGGGCCAGGTTTGGTGCCTTATCTACTTTATTAACCCTGGAAAAACATCAACGGGAGCATGCCTCCTTTAAAAAAAATCCCAGGTTTTCATACAAATTAAATTGTATGAACTAGTTGCGTTACTTAGTTACTTTTTATGATGAGTAATGCATTTCAATATTAAGTTACTCCTCCAAAAAGTAACTAGTTGTGTTACTCAGTAACTTTGTATGGTAAGTAATGCATTTAGATTGTATGTATTCTATTGAATTAGCCACTATTCTGACAATTCAATGCTGTTTTAACTCAATTCGAAACTTTTTTTAATTTAGTGGCTAATAGGTATGATTTTGACATTTTAGTACGATTTGGTCATCCCCCAATGATCTTTGGGTTTAGGAGCAGGGTTTGGTGCCACACCTACTTTTAAAAAGGCATATGTTTTCATGCAAACTCGTACAAATTAGCCAAAAAATGGGGAAAAAAGTTACGTTTTATCATGAGATCAGGCTGGCCAATCCGTACAATAGTTACGTTTGCTTATGAGATCAGGCTGAATCAAACAGAAAGCAATGACAGCTACAGTATGAGGCCGCAGTGTGCTTTGGCATTTGTTCTTCAAAATCTCTTTCAGTAAAAATGTGCTTAATTCTTAAAAAATGATGATTAATAAACATCTTGGAAAAAAACAAACAAACACAAACTTGCATGACTATAAAATTTTGGCAATGTTCTTTCTCTGAAAAAACTCCCACGGTAGTTGAATATTTTGGTTTAAAATGAGCAAAGTCTGAATATCGGAGTACATTTCCACAGTTCTCAGGTTTGCTTATCTAAATAAGCATGCATTATATATAACCATTGAGTGTAAGAGTAAAGTTTTACATTGAAAGTGCTGTATTTAGATGTCAAAACGAAAGTTTCCTTCACAGAAGTCCTTCAGAGATTAAAATTCAGTTCCATCGACAGCATTTGAAAATTCAAATGGTAAGAGTCATGGCGCAGATGTTCTGAGGCACAAAGTCCTTGGCTTATTGGTCCCGCTTGAGAGAGAAACTCCCGCAGAGAAACTCACTCATGCTCTCTGCTTTCTGTTTTTGTCTTCAGACTTTGCAGTTTCTGCTTCCCATGTTGGCTCTCCTGTAAGGTTGTGCTGCCAGAGAGCAGGCTTATTGTGTAGGGTGAAAACCAATCTCTTTCAAAAGCAGCCGTCAGCTGCTCTACAATCGAGTCTCGTCCGTCCTGCTGGTTCTCTGGTTCCTGAAACACCAGCCCAGCTCCTGCATTGAAGGCAAACTCACTGCCAACCCAGTCCAGATTTCCTAATGGGCAGAGAGTTTGAATGTTAATAAATCAGACCAATGCACTAAATTGGATGTTCATTAAAAAAGACCATAAGATGCTTCTCAGAGATGTAATGGTACACATGCATACAGGAACATTTCAGTATGGGTTTCTTGGTTTTGGTATGCGTGTGTCATACAAATACAATGTTGTTTTAACCATGCACTGCACATGTGGAACCTAATTTGAAAGTCTAGTTTTATAGATCTTAATTTCTTTTTTTAATATTTTAAACTCACATAAATTCTTAAAAGGACAGTTCACCCTCCCAAAAATAAAATGTATTCACTCTCAAGTGTTTACTCGCCATCAAGGGTTTCCAAACCAAAAAAGAAGACATTTTTAAAACTACTTACTAAATTACAATTGCTGAGAAAAACTACTCAATTACAGTAATTTGAGTATTTGTAATTAGTTACTTTACACCACTGGCGACAAGCCATCAATTAAAGGGTCAGTTCACCCAAAAAATTAAATGATAACATTTTAGGGTGACCTCTGTTGAATAAAGGGACTAAGCTGAAGGAAAATTACTGAATAAATAGTGAGAAATTTTTGGGTGAATTCTACCTTTAACACTTAAAATGAAGATTGTTTAAATTACATTTTATAACAATAGGTGGCGACAAGCCAAGAAAAAAGGGGTCAATTTATCCCAAAAATTTGTATTCTGTTATTAATTACTGACCCTATGAGTGTATGTGTATCCATGTCTGTGTGTGTATGTGTTTGAGAGAGCTTCTTACCAATGTACACTGCGTTGTCTGTTACCACAAATTTATTCTCATTCATCCTGTGCTGAAATCCGCCCATCTGCTCCTTGCCTCTGTAAAATCTCTGAATTAAAAAACAGACATGCATATATACTGTAAAATCCAGCCGGTGTTGTATAATATATGCAAATACATGTCTTATGTATTTCAGTGGATCAATCAAACATGTTCTGTCCTCACCACCTCAATAGAGCAGACTGGCAGTCCTGTGCACAAAGCCTGCATTGATGTCATAAAGTTAAAGGTCAGCGGATGTGTTCGAGTCCACAGACTGATTAAAAGACGAACTTTGACCTCTTTCAGTACTGCAGCCTCGCGGAGCATCTCATCTATTGGCGACCAGTACCTGAAGCAAGAAATAACATGACAAGCCACATAACTGTTGATAAGGTGAAGGATCACAGAGATGTCACAACAATCTCAAAAATAACAACCGTGTCTGCTGCATTTATAAATAGCTCTGAAGATTTATTCATGCATTCATTTTCCTTAGGTTTAGTCCCTTATTTATCAGGGGTCGCCACGGCGGATGCCCTTCCAGCTGCAACTCAGTACGGGGAAACACCCATACTCTCACATTCACACACAAACACTACGGCCAGAAAGAAAGAAAGAAAGAATGAAAGAAAGAAAGAAAGAACAAACGAATGAATGAATAAAAAAAGGAGGAACGAAAGAAATAAAGAACAAACGAACAAAAGAACGAACGATTGAAAGAAAGAAAGAAAGAAAGAAAGAAAGAAAGAACAAACTAATAAAAGAATGAACGAACAAACGAAAGAATGAATGAAAAAAGAATGAATGAAAGAAATAAAGAACGAACAAACAAAAGAACAAACGAATGAACGATTGTAAAAAGAAAGAAAGAAAGAAAGAACAAACTAAAAGAGCGAACGAACAAACGAAAGAATTAATAAAAAAGAATGAACGAAAGAAATAAAGAACGAACAAACAAAAGAACAAACAAATGAACGATTGTAAAAAAAGAAAGAAATAAAGAAAGAAAGAAAGAAAGAAAGAAAGAAATTAGTACCAATTGAACTAGCATTAGCCACTAAACCGACAAAATGTAAAATAGTTTTGTTTCCCTGTGAGATCAGGTTGGAGGATCAGCACAAGCATGTAAAAGAGATGTGTGCCTGCAAAACACATTGTTAGAGTGAGTGAGTGAGTGAGTGAGTGAGCTTTTTTTTTTTTTTTTTTTTTATGTTTTTCTGTCTAATGGATGAATACAGTCTGCATACCCATTCATTTCTTTTGGTGGTCACTTTTGACCAGGAACACCACAGGTGTAACAAGATTGATTAAAACACTCAAAATTCAATGACACTTTATTTCATACACTGTAAAAAATGGCCGTGATTTCAATGGTAAAAAGCTGTAAAAATGCTACAGTACAAATCCGTAACCTGGTTAACGGTATGTTTCCTTAACATATACGGCGAATAACCGTAATTTGACTTTCTCAGAATTCCCTGCATGGCACCAACTTTTTTATGCATTTTGTTAACATTAATATGGATCTTTTTAGTTATTTCCCCATTGTTTCCCAATATAATGTTGATAAACAATGTTTATTTCATGACTTTAATTTTATGCGTGTTACCATACTGGTGCTTAGTTAGCCATACTGGTGCTGTGTGAATGACACTGAGCACCTTCTATGTGCTGATACTCTTTTCTGCGTGTGGGAAAAGTTAATTGTGATGAGCGTTGGCTCGTTATGTAACTTCCTTAACACCCCCTGCAAGTGGGTGTGCTAACGTGTCTAACTGTGTAACAAACGATGTTTAGATGTTGATCATTCAAAATACAGACATATTACCTCTATAATTAATGAAATACAGTAATTTACCGTAAAAGTGAGAAATTACTTTTACGGTTTGTATCGTGTTTTTAACGGTAAAGTACTGGCAACCACAGCTGCCATTTTTTTTACCGTAAATTTTATAGATTTATTTTTTACAGTGTAGCGTGGAGGATATCATAAGACCTTGAGGCAATCAGATGTAAAACACAATATTTATGAGTGATTTAAGTTGCAAATCGGTCAGATTTGACCCGAACATGACAAAGGTTAGGTCAACCCTATCACGAGTGTTACCTCTCTGTTTTCTAAAACTCATTTTAGCAAGTTTATTTCTCTTTTAACATGCATTTTATTGATGAAATGTATGGCTTAATGCCTGAAAAAGCCAGCAGCATTACCTTATGATTGCTGATCCTCTAAAGCTCCGGTTGACTAAGGGCAGGTAATCAGTTACAGAGATGTAAATGTATCTCTTCGCTTCTCGGATCACATGTCGTATAGCATCTATATCTCGACTCCGACCCTTCGGGCAAAACAGCTCTGGTGACGTCTATGAAGAAAAGTTCAGAAACACTATTAAAACAGCACTTTTGTTTTATAAGTTTTTTTTTTAGCTTAAATTCATAAGCTCACTACACCAGAACAAGGTAATGAGATGGTCGCCTGTGTACATACATCATTGTCAGGGAAATTGTATCAGTGAGCTGGAAATGTCTCCCTGCAGCCTATAACATTAGAGCGCTATTCATTTGACTGAGATGATGGATGTCTCAGATGCGTAGAGAAAACATCCTGTTGCTGGAAAGGAGTCAAGATTCATTACGCTCAAATTAGAAGCCAGTGGCCAGTGTCTTCACGTGTGGCGCAGCTTGGCATAGGATAAAGTCAAAGGGATAAATTACCTGCAGAGCGAGTGATCTTTCCATAATCAAATTATAGCCAGGGAAGCCATTGGAAGAGCAGTTTACATAAGAAAATCTTTCAATTAAAATGCACAACATGGGCCTATTTCTGCAGAATTGATCACAACATGTTTGTGCAGTAAATACTCTAATGAGAATATTTTTATACACTGTAAAAATATCCGTCAATTTTCCATATATATTGTGATTCATGTTTTTATTTTTCCCTGTTTATGCTTTTGAATTGCATTATGAGACCTTGATCTTTCTTCCAACAACTTTTAACCTTGAAATGTTAGAAAAATTTGATTTAATTTTATAAACATTTATAATAGTTTAAAGTGATATATTGTCTGGTTTGGTGTTGTATATTATGCTACAAAATCCTTGTAATAAACTGCCAGTACATTTTATGGTATTATGTTACTGTCAACGCAGGCTCATTCTGATTATGTACCCCAATATACATTTCTGGAGAGTGCCAAATATTAGAGGAGACAAAATTTATCGTTTCTTCAATGCACCGCGATGCAGACGTGGACAATTCGGTATCGGTTCAGTAATAATCATAACCGGTTATTACTGACGTCATTTACCTCATATGTCGCGAGGGGGACGATCGCGAGTATTTACAACGCTCTAACTACTTAATACTCATGAACTGTGCACAATTTCACTGTGTGTGTTTGAGAATGAAAGTAGCCTACCCCATCTCTCTCTCTCTCTCTCTCTCTCTCTCTCTTTCTTACACACACACAGTGGCCCATTTGTCCTGCTGGCGTGACTTTTCTTTTCCTCTCGGCTGTTTTACAGCGTTACTTTTGGATACAGAAACGAGCGCGTGTCTACAGAGTTTTCTCCACTATCATAGATCAGCTGTAAGATCGCCGCTGCCACCTGCCACTTATCATTCATCTGAAGAGCGCAGCCCGCAAGAGCCAATCGTAACCGTTTTTGTTGAGGGTGTGACCAATCAAAGAGGTGTAATAAAACTAGACAAGGATCAGAAATTGAGCTGGATATTTATATTTGTTTATATTATTTGCTAAATGCTCGTTTTTTTTAAAGTTACAGTTTAAATATCTGACTGTTTGTATTAAATGACAAAATTGTATTACAAATAATAGCCTAAATAAATATAAATATATTCATACATTTTAATACAAGAGCTGCTGCTGTGAAGAAAATATAAAAGCATCGTCAGTGCACCGTGATGCACCGAAATATCGAATTGAACCGAATCGATGACATGATAATCGTAACCGAACCGAACCGAACCGTGAGACTAGTGTAGGTTCACAGCTCTACCAAATATGTCCAAGGAGGTATGTTTTTTGGTGAGGGTTGTTTTTGCGTATCTGCCAGAGGCTGCTGTGTTTGTTTTTTCAGATCTCAAATTTCTCCCGCGAGTGCCATTCACACCTGCTGTTAAGCCACCAGAGGCCGCTGTCAACTGACTGACTGACCGATTGACTGACCCACCCTCCTCCTTCCCTAAACCCAATCAATAGTGTTAACAAAAGCACAAATTGACCAGGGCCCACCCACTTCCCTAAACCCAACCGACAGTGTTTTCAAAAGCATTGCAGAAAAAGAAAAGGCGCCCCTCACGGCAGCCTGATTTTACCACATTTTCACCCTGTTATTTACTTGTTTATTCTATTTTTTGGCTTCTGTTTTTGTTTTACCTGTTTTCTGGAACCATTCTTCGCCGGACCCGAACCCTGTCATCATGGTCCACATTACAAGCCCGCCAACGTATGCGGAGAGCCACTAGACAAACTGGTCACAGTGGGGAAGCAGTCTATACACACACTGTAAAAAAATCTGTTATTTTACTTTTTTTTCTAGCAGCTAGGGTGCCGGAAAAAAAAACGTAAAGTAACGGCCGTTAAAATTCAGACATTTATTGTAAAATAAATGACGGTAAATTACAAAAATTTAAATTTAAGGAAATTTCCGTAATTTAAAGTCTGTTATCTTACGATAAATGTCTGTAATTTAACGTTATTTTAATTTTTTTCCGGCACCCTAGCTGCTGTAAAATAACAGATTTTACAGTGTAGGTTAGTGGTCTAATTGTGAAAATGAACGATGTCATACCGCACCGTAGCTCTTGTTTTATAGACTAAATGCAGCCATACATTCCTCTGAATACATAATTTGCAATCTCCAGAAATGTATATAGTGCTACGTTTCCAGAATGAGTGGACTACAGTAACCAACATAGGCTTACTGTTGTCCACCCCTCACTCTTGTCAGCAACTTGGATTTTCTAACATAGGCTCATTCTGAAAATGTAGCCCTAAATAAATTTCTGGAGAGCGCAAATTATGTAGCCAGAGCTCTGTATGGTTGCATTTTGTCTTTAAAGCGAATGCTACGGGGCGGTATGACGTCGTTTCTTTTTTTGCTTACCAGCTGACCGCTTACCTCCGTATGGACGGTTTTCCCGCTGTTACCAGTTTGTTCGGTAGCTCAGCATGTGCTTTAGTGGACTTGCGACAATTCCAGAAAGCAGGTGAGACAAAAACAGAAGCTAAAAATAAACTAATCAAGTAAATAATAGGGTGAGAATGTGGTAAAATCTGAAAACGTGGTAAAAAACAGACAATGGCTTTTCTTTTTCTGGATTACTTTGTAAAACACTGTGGTTGGGTTTAGGGGAGGGTGTGGGCAGGTCAATTGGTGCTTTTTAAAATCCTATTGGTTGAATTTAGGGAAGAGGGAGGTGGGGCAGTTGATTGGTCATTCAGTCAGTAAACAGTTAGTCGACAGCGGCCTCAGGTGGATTTACTCGAGAAGAGCATGTGCGAATGGCACTCGCGAGAGAAATCTGAGATCTGAAAAAGCATACACAGTGGCCTCTGGTGGATTAGCAAAAACAAAAACTGCTTTAAAAGCTCCTGGGATGTATTTTGCTCTCTCCAGAAATGTATTGGGGTACATTTATCAGAATGAGCCTGGGTTGAGATTTTCTGTATTGTCAACCTCAAAAATAAATCTACCTAGAGAAAAGGGTTGAGAACAATGTGTAGCTCTAAGCCCCAGTCTTCCCTCTTTACTTTAAAAATAGATGTACACTGGCCTATCACCAAAGACAGCAAAAGAACAGACATCTTCACTGATCTCACCGACACATAGGCAGAAGCGTCTGTATTGTTGAGTGTGAGCTGGAGCGGCTCGTCTCGGCTGTACACGGCTGTGACTCTCTTGGACCAGATTGAAGGGATGTAGTCCCTGTACTGCAGCTGCCAGTAGAAAGAAAAGATCCTGTGCAGGTCCATAGCCAGACAACTGCAGTCATACACTATGATCCCCAGCTCCTTCAGCTGAAACAGAAAAAAGTATCTCGATGTGACATGAAATGTTTTACTTGAAAGTGTGGTGTAATTCTTCAAACTAAACAATAGTTTAGCAGCAAAGAAATAGTTTAATAGTTTGAATATATATATATATATATATATATATATATATATATATATATATATATATATATATATATATATATATATATATATATATATATATATGCGTGTGTGTTTGCAGTTAGTTTATTGTCTCTCAAACCATGCAAGATGTTTTTAGAAAGAAGGATAAAAGTCCCATGAAATGAAAGCTTTTTTTAGATGTTAATATCAGCATGTTAGTTTTAACAATATCTATAAGCAGGTGCACACCAAAAGAATAAAAAAATTTGCATTTAGAAAATATAAACCTGATATAAACTTTCAAAGCTTGCAGTTTGTCACTTTCGCTTAAACCACAGGTGTCAAATCCGATTCCTGGAGGACCATAGCTCTGCACAGTTTAATTCCAAACCTGCTTCAACACACTTATGGCCTGTTTCCAGAATGGTATGGTACGTACGGTACAGTTCGGTACGGGTGACCTTTTTGAGGCTTGCATTTCCTTTGAAAAGGGTACCCAAAAAGTTGTACGGTACAGTTCACTTTTTGGTACCTTATGACAGTGGAAACGGCCATATAAGCGTACCAACACAAACCTCACCATACCACTCATTGGAAATGGGCCATTACCTGTATGTTTCAAACAAGCTTGAAGGACTTAATTAGTTCAGGAGTGTTTTATTAGGGTAAAGCTAAACTGTGCAGAGTTGCGGCCCTCTAGGAACTGGATTTGACATGTGATTTAAACCATTCAAATGCTCTCTAGTGTCTGACATGCCCCGCCCCCTTCAAGACGCTTCGAAAATTAAATATATTTAAAACCACTTGACAAAGTAAATAGTGAAGAAATGTACACTTTTGGAAGTGTCAAATTGTCTCATGAAGTGAATCCACTGGTTTTATTACAACATTATAACTTTCTTTCCCATTAAAAAAATAAATAAAAAATAGCAAACCAGAACTGATGCCACTGTGCAGTCCTAAAATCTAAACCCGAATTACTTACTCGAAAAATGAATCTGTTTTTTGTGTTTTGTGTAAATAATCTATAGGACCCACCTACTAGCCCTCCTGAATTATTAGTCGCCCTGTATTTTTTCCCCTAATTTCTGTTTACAGAAAGAAGATTTTTTTCAACACATTTCTAAAGATAATACTTTTAATAACTGTGATGAGTCTCCTAGTCCCACTGACTGAGACTCATCTGCAGAATTCGGAACACCTGGTCTCCACCCCTATTGACCTTATTCTAAAATGCGGAAGTTCGCCTGTTTTCGCGATTGTCTTAGAACTTCCGATTCAGTCGCCTATGGGAGAAATGACTAGGAATAATAAACGGCAGAAAACGGTCAAACTACTTGCTCTACAAACAAATGTTTGCATGACTATACAGACCAAGTAGAATAATATAATAAGAACATATCAAATTGCAAAATCAAGCAGCGTAATGAGCAGTTTTTAACGTCAAAAAATGAATGGAAGTGAATGAGACCGGAAGTCTCAAGCCAAAAAGATTCAAATGGCAGCGCCTGCTCGTCGGCGGAGAATAAGGTGAATAAATCACTGGCTATGTTGGCTTGTATTGTTCTCTTGCCCCTGCTTATTTTGTTTAGTTTGTTCTAGCTTTGGTTAACAGTTGATTTTTGCTAGTCTAATTTTGAGCATTTGATTTTTTCTATTTTTATTATTTGCTTTTTCTTTAATGTTTATATAAATACTTTTTCATTCACCAAACCATCTTATGTCCTCCTTTAATTTGTTATGGCTTGAGAGTTGTGAAAATATGGGTGCTCGTCCGTAAGTTTAATTTGGTAATAAGTTTGTTAAATTAATTAATTTTGTCAATGTAATGATTAATTTGTATATATTTTTCGTGACTAATATTTATTTTACTGCCAAAATCAGATGGTTTGGTTTCATTTTTGTTTGATGGGAGCTTGGCCATTCGGGTAAGTCTTGATTTCTTGTGTATTTGGGGAGAGATTAGTTTTGGAATAAGCTTTTCCCTGCGTAGATATATTGAGGTGTCCTTTGGATGATTCAAAGTATTTTTTATTCAATTTAGTTATTTTTGTATGGTGAAATTGGCTGGAGCAGTTGTCACAGGTACACATTTCTGTTTTGTAGTGGTGACTCCTCGGTTGCTGTTGCAAATGCTGTGTTACTAATTACTAATACCTGGTTTATATTTACTTTGCCATGATGACAGTGCATAATATTTGACTAGATATTTTCAAGATACTAGTATTAGTATTTACTTTAAGTGACATTTAAAGGCTTAACTAGGTTAATTAGGATAATTAGTCATTGTACTGTATAACGATAGCTTGTTCTGTAGACAATTGAAAAAAAAAGTTGTTTAAGGGGCTAATAATTTTGACCTTAAAATGTTTTATTAAAAAAATAAAACTGCTTTTATTCTTGCCGAAATAAAACAAATAAGGCTTTCTCCAGAAGAAAAAAATATTAAAGAAAATACTGTGAGAAATTTCGTGCTCTGTTAAACATCATTTGTAAAATATTTGAAAAGTAAAATCACAGAAGTGCGAATAATTTTGACTTTAACTATATCGCAGATGAAAAAATGAACAGCAAACTTTCAGCAAAACAACAACAACCAAGCCAGTATGCCCTACGTTCAAGTGAATCTTATCATTTGACCGTTCCCCGGGTTCGAACTGAAATAGAAAAGTGAGCCTTTAGTCATGCCGCCCCCTCATTTTGGAATACTCTTCAGTCTGAACTACAAATGTCTGAGCTCATGCCAATTCTTTTTAAAAAACAATAACAGTCAATTTCTCAGTGTATGTGTTTTCAAAATATTTTAATGTGGTATAGCTGAACAACTAAACTAGTTTTTATATTATATATTATATTTTTATATTATATTATTTTCAATAATAATTATATAATCATAATTATAATAATAATTATTATATTATATATTATATTATTATATTTTATAATTATTATAATTATTATTATAATAATATAATTATATTATCAACAATTATTATTATTATTATTATTATTATTATTATTATTATTATTTTGTACTTTATTTATTTATTTATTTATTTATTTATTTTTTCATAAGTCATATGTTTGCAAACCTTTTGGCCATGTCACCCTTGTAAATGAAATCTTGATCTCAATGGGTTTTTATCTGATTAAATAAAAGAAACAAACAAACAACAACAAACCTTCATTCCTTTGACACATCTTCCAAATACTTTTACATTGTGTAAATTCTTCACCTTGGACAGAGCCTTCCAGTTCATTCCAGCACTGCCGATGTAAATGTGCTTCCTGTCCACGACCCAAAAGGAGGAAAGCAGTCGTCCTCTGGTGAGGGCCGTCATGTTGACATAGCGAACTTCGGCATCTGCGGGAGACAGACAGCCATGTGGGCAGTAGTTTGGGGAGCTGATGAGCACTCAACCTTGACTAGAGATCTGCCTGTCATTCAACTCTGGCATAGACAACATTACACATTCGTGGTGTTTTGACCTTGTGCAGAGCCTTGGGGGACTGAAGCAGGGAAAAGCCCAAGGAGCTATGCCAAGTTATGACAGATGGAGGTGTGTCTGTGTGATCTTACTGCGATTGCTTCAGGAAAACATGCTTTAGTAATTCAGCAGACATAAATCAGCGTATCGCTATACAGTAGGTATTGAACATGTCACCATTTTTCTCAGAAATCGTATTTCTAAAGGTGCTGCTGACTTGAAAATTTCACTGGAGGTTGATAACAACTTAATAAATCAATATATACAAACAAAACAAGACTAATTAGTTTATAAATGAAGTTCTGTTTAATAAAATGAAATGACACAGGGAAAAAGTATTGAACACATGAAGAGAGGGGAGTTGTAGAAAGGCAGTGAAAGCCCAGACAGTATCTGAAATTTCGTAGTTCTTCAGCAACCCTCTGCCCTTGTCTGTCATTGTAAATGAATATTAGCTGCTTCAGTCCAACATCTACATTAGCAGGAGGTTGCAGATGGACATTTCAGCAAGACAATGATGCAAAACACAGTCAAGGAAACTATTAAATGCTTTCAGAGACAGAAATCAAGCTGTAGAATGGCCCAGTCAATCACCTGATGTGAATCCAAAAGGAAAATACAAAATAAATCTCAGATTGGATCGACGAGACCCACAGAACAATCAAGATTTTTTTCCCTCTGTCGAAGTTTCTGTTGAAGTTTGTGAAACAAATCACACCTGAGCAATGCATGTGACTTCATCCTCCATATGAGGCGTCTTTAAGCTGCCATCATTAAAATAGTCTTTTAGATCAAGTATTAAATGCATATCAGTTGATCGGCGCTGTCATTTCATTGTTCTTACACATAACTCATTTTTCAGACTGTTCTTTTGTTTTATTTTTATGTTTGTATTGTTTGAGGTTTTACCAAAATCTGGTTTAATTCAATGTCAACAGCTGCTATAGAAATATTATTCCCAGGAAAAAACATGACATGTTCAATATTTAGTTTCTCCACTGTATATATTATAGAGATACAAGTTCACTCACAGCGATCAGCCATGCTCTTCAGCTCAGTGGAGTTGGGTTGGTCACTGACAACCTTTAATTTGACACCTCGAGACTTCAGGCTTAACAATCTCTGAAACAAATATTGACCCTAAGAAAAAAAAGACATTTTTATTTGTAGTACACAGTAAATTTTAATTTATTTTTGTCATTTTACGGTTTATTTCCAGCAGCTGGGGTGCCGAAAAAAAAGAAGTAAAATAACCGCCATTAAACTACAAAAATTTACCATAAAATAACAGATTTTAAATCACAGAAAATGACTGTAAAATATCGGATATTAAATTACAGAAATATACTGTAAAATAGCGGATATTAAATTACAGAAATTTACCAAAAATTTAATTTAAGTAAATTTCTGTAATTTAACGGCCGTTATTTTACTTTTTTTTTTTTTTTTTTTTGGAAATACGTAAACCGTAAAATTACGGATTTTTTTTACAGTGTAGTATATCATTCATAAAACTGAAAACAGTCATTTTAGATGTTGAACAGTGGTTATTACTCAAAATAAGTTAAATAATAAAATAATCATAATCGATGCATAAGTAAGTATTTAAAATAAATTCAATGTTGCTATAAAAACATTTCTAATATGGGCTAATAGCTATTGTTCTAGCTATTGTCTGTAATTTAGATTATAGATTTAGATTATATATTAACAGTTCTACATGTAAAACGGTGATGGTGGAATTTATTTATTTTTTTCATTCATTCATTCATTTTCCTTCAGCTTAGTCCCTTATTTATTAGGGGTGCAACGGTTCAACCTCTGGATCACAGTTTTAGGGTCACGGTTTCGGTACGGTACGGTTTGTGCTATGCTTAGAAAACAGAACAATTCAAAGAACAATAAACATATTTATTGGGTAAGAAACACCTGACAATGCAACAACTTCACACATGTGACTGTAGATTTGCATGTTCTCGCATTAATTAAATAAAAGTAGGGCATTTTGAAAATTGTATGTTTAAAAAAATTGCTTAAGAAAATAAATGGAAATTTCCCGTTTTTTTATTTTACATCTTGACTCGACAGTCTCAACCAATTATTCAGATAATAATTATGTAAACACAACTTAATAATTGAGCATTTTAAAGTAGTGATTACGTCTGTTTACATTATGCTTGCATTACCAAGGCAACATAAATTATTTCTTTATGATTTTATTTCAGACAGCTCTGTTCCACCATTGTAGTGAATGAAACTTGAGCAAAGAAACAGGTTTCATTTGAAGTATAGTCCCTTTAATACCTTTGTTAGATCAAAATCTTCATCTATGTCATCTTTGCATGAAAAATGTCATAACTGAGTCAATAATACCAAAAAACAGTTGCCATAAGCATGCATACAATCTCATTCATGTGTCATGTCTTGATTATAAAGCCTTCGTGAGTCTTATGAACACCCCTTCAAGTAAAATGTTACCTAAAAACATTTGCCCATCAGCTTTAATTGAGTAAACACAGGCAAACTAACCTGATAGGAAGTGTAAACCCGTGCCCCCTGATCGGTGGAGGTCAGAGCCCAGTATGGAGATACTATCTCAACTGACAGTTTGGCTTGGTCCAAAAGGTGGTTGAGACCCACAGTAAGCGGGAGATGAGACGAACTATTGAACGACAGCTCTCCTGGGATGTTCTCCACAAGGACAATGCTAAAAGCACATTGACATAACAGACACATTTATTCATAGATTCATGCACAGCACACACAATCAAAATACACTGTGAAAATTTTAATAAATTGCACGTTGATTGGAAAAAAAAACAATTAAAGGTGCAGTATGTAAGTTTGAAACAGGTTGAACTTAGTATTGCACTCCTGGTTTGAAACGCACGCAAGCGCAGGTTGCCAGATTGATGACATCAACAGGAGCGTGCCTGACCATCAAGCCTAAAGTCTGATTTAAGGCTGATTTAAGACTGATTTAAAGTTTATTTAGAACTGATTTAAAACTGATTTAAGACTGATTTCAAGAGTTCACACTTAGCTGATGATTGGTAATAAGCTAGTTTGGCATGCTGTCCCGGGAGAGAGCCCCGAGCTCGAAAGATCCTCAAGCCCGGAGCTCCCTCCCGTTGCAGGGCGAGAGGGGAGTTTGACTCGGGTAGATCTCGAGAACCCCCCCCCACCACCCCCTTCCTGCTGCGTAAGGATTGCTAAGGTGGTGTGTTGCTGACAGAATTGATATTGGTGCTAATTTGGTTTAGTCAATTTACATAGTCTCATGTTTTTGGGAGTGTGGGAGGAAACCGGAGGACCCGGGGAAAACCCGCGCAAGCACGGGGAGAACATGAACTCCGCACGAAAATGCTGAACGGTTGGGTGGATACCCAAGTCGGAGGCATTTTTTGCTGTGAGGCCGCAGTGCTAGGCACTGGGCCGCCATGCTGCCCTGTAGAAAAGAGGAGGAGAAGGGGTGGAAGGGGGGATTCTTCAAAACAAAGATGACTAAAGGTAGGGCGTTTGGTTATTTATACTGGGTTAGGAATAGCCTGATTGGTGGTTCGTTCGTTAGCTTGACTCGGGGCCAGCCGTGTCAATCATAAGCATGTGATTCTCTCGAAATTAGTTTATGAATAAACTTCACTTAAGACTGATTAAAGGTTTAATTAGGACTGATTTAAAACGGATTTAAGGCTGGTTTGAGGTTTATTGGATTATAAACCATTTAAAATAAAACATTTTGTTGGAGTGCAGTAAATGCACTATTCTGTGTTTCTGAATGGCTGAATAATTGTTTCTGTCTTGTTTTATCTGGTGCAAACAGCCAAATTGCTGTTCACTGCAAATCTCGTCACATATTGTGTTGTTAGGACATGCGGTTACAGTGTTAACCTGCTCACCTAATGTTTACGTTCGTTCGTAATATTTATATTATTTACAAATTTATAATCACCTCATGTGGAACTCTGAATCTGTGTCTCATTTTAGAGTCTGTTACGGTACATTTCAGTCATGGACACATACTTTGAGAGCCTTAATTCCTGCCTAAATTAATGAAATATGCATTTTCCCCCCAAGGCATCCCGGAGTGCTGGAATATAATTGAAAGTGGACAGGTTAAAGTGACCAAAACAAAGACAGACGTTCCGGCAAGTAATGCAGAATATCTGACTTCAGCAATGTTTTTCAGATAAACAAGAATGTTCACTTGGCATGTTTCACATCTGCATTTGTGTTGCTTGCAGCAAACATTGTTTGTATAGATTCTATTTGCTTTCTTTAAGCACATTCTTAATCCCACTGTGCATGTTTCACTGATGCACATTAATCTAAAAAACTGCAGAGCAAGCAGTTAGCTCTCGAATGAAGAATTACAATGATTTACTAATTTGCACAGTGTTAAAATTATTAATTGAGCAGTCCCTTGTGTCTTTCTAAACCCATATGACTTCCATTCTTCCACAAAAGATGAATTCTAGATGAAGCAGTACAGAAAATTTAAAAGGAACGAGGCAGTTCAGTTCCGAAATGACATTAAAAAAGTATCATCAATCATATTAATACCCTAATGACTCATGCACATTTTTTTAGCGTTCTGCTCCTCACACAAAGCTGTGGCTGCAGGAACCCAAATCTTTTTAAAAAGTACCCCTATTATGTTTTTCAAATATTAGCTTTCATGCAGCTGTTTGTGAATAAAAGATCCAAAGACTAAAGTGCACGATAAATCGAGTTACTGTCTCCCAAAGAAAGAATCAATTCTTAACCGCCTAAAATAAGCAGTCAGTAATTGCAGTCTTCGTACACTAAAAGCCTATGGTCATTATTGGCTGTCTGCAAATGACTAGTTTGACCCTCAAACACAGTAGCGACATGTCAAGACACCGTTTTCTGAACTGCCAAAAGCAAATCCACTCTGCAAATCATGATCTCAGGTTTGACGTGGGTTGAAATTAATATGACACAGCTGTCTGGCACCATTGGTATTGCTCAAACCACAGTTTTTACAAGGGCAGAGAACACCTCTAGAGTTTAGATTCTGACCCTTAATGCACTAATTTTAAAGCTGCAATGTGTTCAGTTTCAATTTATTTATACTGCAGAGCAAAATTAAACACCCTTGAGCGTTACATACCAATGACTCTCATATATAGGCTTCAATAGTTTAGGGACATCCATACTTTCTCAAACAAGAGGCAGTCATCCATTAGGTCTAATCCATTCTTGTGTTTCAAAGTAAGATTATATGAGTGTCATCAGTGTAACAATGTAGATCCAATGGGAAGCATGTACAGTATCATATTGGGGCTATTATAGAGCCTTAGGGCACCCCACAGGCCAAAGCTACAAAAGAAGAGTGAGATTTGCCATTGTTAATTAAAATACAATGTATGGTATTAGAAAATAAATTTAAACACAATGTAGATCTCCAAAACTAAATTTAGAATAATTATGGCACTTTAAAAAGATCACCCAAACAAGATGTTTCTAAATTGTTTCAAACCTTTATTTGCTTATTTCGTCTGTTGAACACAAAATAATTTATATTGAAGAATGCTAGAAATCTATAACCAAGATCTTACCGATCAGAAAAGAGCAGACTCTCAGAAAGGGTGGGATTAGAGACTGGACCCTTAATGCATTATTTCCAAAGAGCTGCAATGTATTAAATTCCAATTTATTTATACTGCAGAGCAAAATGAAACACCATTGACCAGTACATACCAATGACTCTTATTTAGGCTTAGATAGTTTAGGGACATCTATGCTTTACCATCCAAGTGGCAGTCAACCATCGAGTCAAATCCATTCTTGTGTTTCAAAGTAAGAGTGTCATCAGTGTAACCATGATAGTTTATGCCATACTTCTCACATATAGATCCAAGGGGAATCACATACAAAATAACATAGGGGCTAGAATAGAGCCTTGGGGCACCCCACAGGCCAAAGCTGTCAAATGTTAAGAAAAAACAATGCATGAGATTAGAAAATACATTTGAAGCTAATGTAGGAGATCTCCAAAAGAAAATTTGGAAGCTTTAAAATAGCATAATAATGGCACTTTGGAATGATAGTTCACCCAAGCAATGTGTTTCTAAATAGTTTCAAACCTTTATGAGCAGAAAAGAGTAGACTTTCAGAAAGGGCAGGATTAGAGAGACTGGACCCTGCAACATAAGCTCATTCTGAAAACGTCTCCCTAAATAAAGTACATTTCTGGAATTATGTAGCCAGAAGTAAATATGGCTGCATTTCATTATTAAAACGAATGATAAGGGGCGGTATGACGCCGTTCTTTTTTGTGCTTATCAGCTGACCGATTACCTTCATGTGGTCGGCTCTCTCGCTGTTACCAGTTTGATCAGTAGGCCGCTGCCTCGTCAGTGGACTTGAGACGTAGAGAGGAGTTGACCAAAACAACAGGGTTTGAGTCTGGCAAAAAATGCCCTACTGAAAAAAAAACAGCCTAAACCAGCCGGGGCTAGTTGGCTGGTTTTAGCTGGTTGACCAGGCTGGATTTAGAGGGGTTTCCAGCCATTTCCAGCCTGGTCCTAGCTCGTCAGGCTGGGAGATGACCAGCTAAAACCGGCCTGCAGAGTGGATGGCATCATCAACAGCCTGATGTATCAAGACATTGGTGCTGCCCGTTACATTACAAACCACAGGAGAGGACAAATTCTTCAGCAGGATAGCGCTCCTTCTCATATCTCAGCCTCCACATCAAAGTTCCTGAAAGCAAAGATGGTCAATTTGCTCCAGGATTGGCCAGTCCAGTCACCAGATATGAACATTGTTGATCATGTCTGGGGTAAAATGAAGGAGGCATTGAAGATGAATCCAAGCAATCTTGATGAACTCTGGGAGTCCTGCAAGAACGCTTTCTTTGCCATTCCAGATGACCTTATTAATAATGATTTGAGACATTGCAGAGACGTATGGATGCAGTCCTCCAAGCTCATGGGAGTCATACTGTAAATTACATTTTTGGGTGAACTATCCCTTTAAGCTCTAGTTCTTATTTAAGATGTTTTTGACCAGGGCTGCCCAAACTCGATCCTGGAGGGCTTATATTGAGGTTCCAACCCCAATGAAACACACCTGAGCCAGCTAATCAAGCTCTTTCTAGGTATACTCCAGGCAGGTGTGTTGAAGGAAGTTGAAGCTAAACTATGCAGGACACCGGCCCTCCAGGACTGAGTTTGGAAACCCTGTTTGTCTTTTTTGTTTGTTTTTGAACAACATGATGGTGTATAAAGTGAGCTATAATTATAGACTAAAACTATTTCCCAAACAAGATGACACTTTGCCAAGATGCAATTAGCAAGTTCATGTTGTCTGAAGGTCAAAAACTCAGCGCTGAATATGTGCTGCTTACTTTTTGGCTCTTTCATATACTGTAAAGCACAGCATGTACTGTAACAGATAAGATCACCAGATGATGTGTGTGGACTACTTCTTCTTACCGGCAATTTCTGCTGCAGTTTTCCTCAGTGACACCATCCTCATCCTCGCCCCAAACGTCCACAGCAGAGAATATCAGAGCCACCAGGACAGCAAAGCAGCAAACCAGTGCAAACACAGCAATACACTTCTGCTGGGACTGCATAGAGAATGAAAAAAAGTCTATCAGTCACATCAATCGAACAACTTGGTCTAGGCTGATTTGTTTTAATTATTAATACACGGTTTCTGATTTCAGATCGTGAAGGTTTCGATTCACTGGAAGATTTATGGTATTCAAAAATCCACTTATCTACTCCTGAATCTTTTCTCCAGCTGTAATTTCAGTTTACGACTTCGAGAATGATTGAGATTCTCTGTCAAATTTCTATTCTCTGTCAGAGTTCTATTATACAGAAGGATGGCTGTTTTAAAAGAGCTTTCTTCGTATGCTTGGTGGGATTTTCTAAGGTATTAAGGTAGATAAATCTGGTGTTGGAGAGTGCTCTCTCTCTATGCAGCATTCTCTTCAAACTGCTGCTGTAAACAAGCATCAGCATGAAACCCAGGAAAGTGTCTATAAATATTAATGTGGTCAATGGATAAAACGTGGTGCGCTGTAGGGCGGTTATTCTCAGTGGTCGGGTCTTTGATAAGGTTGTGGGCAACATCAGAGAAAAGACAATATTAAATGCAAATGGTGAATTATTTAATCTTGCAAACAGTAGTTAAACTGCAAAATGTAGCCTACATGGGTAATGAGGAACTACTGTTCAAATGTTTGGGGTGAGTAATATTCTTTTAATTATTAAAAATGCTTTTAATTCCACTTATCAAAAGTACCAGAAAAGACATTTCTGTTTTAATAATTAAATATAATTATTTCTAACTATTCCTACATCAAAGAATTCTAAATAAACGAAAAATATTCTCACTTTCCACAAAAACAAGAAGAAAATCATCATTAGACAGAATATTCTATGGCTCTTAAAGTATTAAAAGTTAATAAATCAGTGTAGAGATATTTAAGGCCCTTAAAAAGTATTAAAAAGTCTTCCATGTTATTTTGCAAGGTATTCATTTTTTTAATTATGCAATGCATGGTTGTATGCTAAAATGTGCCTGAATTTAATCTGCAAATATCAGGATGCTGCGTAGTTTATAAAAGCAATGAAATCCTACTAGATTTGACATCATTCTGCTTTGTTTACTGCAAAAACCAAGGCAACACCATTATTTCTGCCGCTCTATATGCTCCAACCTGCCGAGTTAGCTAGATTTATCAGACTTGTATTCAGTATATGAATAATGTTTAGGTTTTAGATTAGTTTCTGTTTAGTAAATATACTGTAAGTTAAAATCTCGCCAGTGTTTCTGGTTGAAAACTGCTTATATGGTCTTAAAATGTATGGAAAGGGTCTCAAAAAGGTCTTAAAAGGTATTGAATTTTACTCTCTGATTCCTTTATATACTCTGTTATGTCAGCATATTAGAATGATTTCTTCCTTTTCCCCCTGAATTTAATTATAAAATTTTCCAAAATTGTACAAATATCACATATTTTAGAATATTATTGTACATTTTGGCATATATAGAGAGAAGGAAAGTAACAAGGATCCTAAATGATTGACAGTTATTGACTGTAACTTTATTTTGATGGTCTATCTAAATAGTAGTAGACTGTCTGCTTAATATCTGTTGATACTGCTCCTTCAGCAGACTGACTATAAGAAACTTTGCAAGTATATTTCAACTTAACCCTAACCCTAACTTAACATACTTAAAATCTAATGAGAATTAGTTGGCATGTAGATGCAACGTAACTTAAAGTCAACAAACGGACCATCAAAATAAAGTGTGACCTTATTGACTCCCAAATATGCTTATTAAAAATTGAATAAAACTTTTAAAATTAAAATAACTAAAGAACAATTAAAACTATTAACTAAACAAGCAATTTTTACATGGTCACATGAGCTGTCACACAGTAACCAAGAATGTAAAAATTATGGATCAGAGCATCAGCCATTTGAACAGCTGTCTCAAAAGATCATAAAATCTTATCTGAAACATTTCCTGCATAAAAGTCTCACAAAACCCCATCAAAACCAGGAAGCATCAATGCTAATTATGTTCCCGTAATGGGAGTTCTGAAGCCTGAATTAGATACAGTAAACCACACGTAATGATCTGTGATAATGGTTTTGGGGGAAAAAAAATCCTAATTTATGATCAAATAAATAAACATATAGTTTTTAACAACTTAAGCAGTATTGTCTGTCTTTATACTTGGTTCTGATTAGCTGAAAGGTTTGGATTAAAATAATAAAACACAAGTAGTTTCAGTTCAATGTGGCAGCATTAATCTGGATGTTATTATTTATTACTGTTCATGAGGCAAAAATAAGAAAAAAATTCAGCCCTTAAGTCAATATTTTAAAACACAATGTCCCTAAATACACAAACAAATATTCTTTTTAGAGATAACTTCAAATACGTTCATTATTACTATGATTCAAAACTGTTTAGTAATTTTTATTATTAGTAAATATTTTTATTACACTAAATCACACGTCAGCAGTGTTTATTTAGGAGTGCACAAAAAAATCTGTGCTTGAGCGGTGTATATTTGAGGGTGTGCAACAAGTTTTGTTGGAAGATCTGTGTAAAAGGCCTGCCACCACAGCTGGAAAAAAATCCTAAAGGAAACCCTATCCACATACACTATACCAATTGTACTGAGAATTCTGGCCACTGCAACCACTTTCTACGATCATACCTTTTTAAACCAAGCACATATAGCTTACATATAAACATTACATATTACATTACATCATGAGACTTATTCCTGAAAGACCCCATTGAGACACGAGTCTTCGCATTGATCCCAGCCAGAACTCCCTCCGGTGACCTACTCACATCTGCAGCTTCTCCACGATGGACGTCTGTTCTCCAGCCTCCGGCACCTAGACTGCAGCTTCCACACAAGAAATTTGGCCAGAGGAGAAATGGTCGTGCCCAACTGAGCCTGGTTTCTCTCAAAGTTTTTTTTTTTCCTTCACTTTTGTCAATTTGTTCCTCGCTACTGTCGCCACTAGCTTACTTGGTTTGGGACTTTAGCTGTGCATCGATCGATTTGCTCTACAGTGTTTGGAGTTTCAGCAGTGAAATTTAAACCACACTGAACTGAACAAAACTAAACTTCAACTCTGAAAACTGAACTGACAGTTTCAATTTCCTACAAATGAAAGCTTTAGCTATAGTTCTACCAGGAAGACTGAGATGTCACGTCATTCATAGTAATTATCTCGTCAGCCTATAACAACCAAGCAAGCCATGTATATAAGCCCATCTAAACAATCTGTTTTGCTGTACTTAGGTGACGTTGCGGAAGTTTCCCTCCATCCTCCCCATCACCACCACCACCAGGTCGGCCTCGTCTCCACTTAAGGGGTTGGCTTCGCCCTGACTTTATCTTCAGGCAGGATCTGCCAGCCCATCCAGAGTTCTGCACTATAGATGGGGCTTATGCTAAAGGACTTTATGAAAGGATCGTAACGAACTCGCATATATGCAAACAATTCACAATAAATGTTCAAACGTTTATCTGCCTCCTGAAGTCTTTCTAGTAGAACTTTTACTTTAAGCTGCTTTGACACAATGTACATTGTAAATGTGCTATAGAAATAAAGATGAATTGAATTCAATATAACTCTTCAACAGCGCTCATAGAACCAAACAGAGAAAAAGCAATTCTGCACTTTCCACAGTATCGTACAGCCGCTCAAACCTTATTGATTAAGTGTACAATACAAACATGATACGGTGTTGTGAAATATGATTGCTGTAGAAATACCGGTTACCACTGCTGTAATCCACACAGAACTTCTGATTATCCTCAAAAAACTAAACAAAAAAGCCACATAGTAACTTGGTTTTTGCTTAGCACTGCACTACGCTGAACATTTCTCCCTCGAGAGAGATCGTCTCCCATCCCATCTGTTGGCTTTCATCAGAGGAGCGGCTTTACTGCTGTCTGCTGACTGACATATACATCGTACATCATTCTTCTGAAGGAGACACGCAAAGTGAGGTTTAATTAAAGAGCTGGGCGTACATCGGTGCAGATTAATGCAAGGCATTAACCTTTTTACAGTCAAGAGTGGTTTTGGTCAATTAATGTCCTGTACTTTACCTTCACACACACACAAACAGTTAAGTCTGAATTATTTTCCCAATTTCTGAGAGGAGATTTTTTCAACACATTTCTAAACATAATAGTTTTTATAACTCATTTCTAATAACTGATTTTTTTTTTATCTTTGCCATGATGACAGCACATAATATTTTACTGAATAATATTCAAGAGACCAGTATTCAGCTTAAGGTGACATTTAAAGGCTTATCTAGGTTATGATAATTAGGAAAATCATTGTATCATTGTATAACAATAAAAAATAAATAAATAATTATATATATATATATATATATATATATATATATATATATATATATATATATATATATATATATATATATACCTTAAGAGGGCTAATAATATTTCCCCTTAAAAGGTTTTTAAAATTTTTTAACTGCTTTTATTCCAGCCAAAATAAGACAATTCAGAAGAAAAAATATTATAGGAAATACTGTGAAAAATTCCTTGCTCTGTTAAACATCATTTGGGAAATATTTAAAAAAAAATAATTCACAGGACGAGTAATATGTTTGACTTCAACTGTATACATACTTTCAATTGACTCTAATAGTACAGACTCCAAATGTTGGAGGGGAAATGACATTGTAGATGTTCTTGAAGTTTTGTTTACCTCAAAGAATGTTTGAAGTGATGCATCAGTTCAACAGCAAAAGACAGTTGTGACAAACAGTACAGTGTATGTTTACCTCAGTCTGGATGAAACAGGAAATGTTGAGTCGTTTATTTCAGTATGTTGATGTACTTTCAACTGGAGTAGGAAGCGGATTTTTCTCCCTTTTTTTGTATCATTCCCTTTTAGTAAATTAATAGTAAAGCCACGGTCACACTACATTTCACCTCATAGATTTCCAGTGCAATAGACTAGAAATGCAAGCTTGAGCAACAAGTTTCGCAGGTCACGATGTTCAAAAGTTAAAGCTTGGTGATTTTCGATCCATGAA